ATATGGGCTCACCCAAAGTGTGCGGCGGATCCCACGACGAAGAACCATTGTGAGACGACAAGGAAAACGCCTGCTCGCTCGATAGAACGATAAGCCCCTTGTCACAAGCAGGCAATCAGTGGAAACAGCCTTCAGGTCTGGGAATGGCAAAAGCTGAGAAGAAATACGCGGATATTAAACCAAATTGATGGGGCATGTATATCAACACGAGATTTTGAGCTGGAAAAGATGGTTCACTGTGCATTCGTTTTTTGCCTGTTTAGAAGGTTTCAGTGGGAAAGCTTACCGAATCTCGGGCTGGTAAAAGAATGGTTCTCGGGTAGATGGCAAGTCCTACTGTGGCGGGGATCTAACTGGTTAGGCTAACCCAAAGACCGAGACGGGTGGCACAGCGAGGAACCAAGTGTACCGTATATTTGAAGCTTCTATCTGGCCAATTTCATTGGGTTCGTGTCGTTGGAACTGCAGTTGATACGTGGTGAGCGTCTGACGCGACCAAATTGCGTCTGAGTTCTGGAGTGAGATGGAAGAACGGACGGCAGAGAACACTTGTCTCGCTTTTGAGCTCTTTGACAGATACGGATGCCTGAACCGCCAATACTACGAGCATAACTTCAAGCGAGGCTCCGGTGCTTGGGGCCGTGAACTAGACGGCGGAGATATTCTCTTGTTCGAGAGTATTAGCATCACATTGCCGAACGCCGTCGTGGACTTGGTACACAACTCGTTAAGGCAATTCTAGACAAGGTTTGTCCAAAAACGAACCGATTTGTGGCACCAGCCAGACCTGGCCCGTTGCTGTGGCTGTATGAATTACATCGGCGGCCCAATTATGTCACAGCATCCCGGTCAGCAGACATGACAGACGATCCCCGTTCTAGAGACTAAGCCATGCTGTTTGGCATCGCCCCGCAAGTATACCTCCGTTGCGCGGTTGATGCGTGTGGCTTGCAGGGGCTAGTGCAGCCGGCCGGCCCGGAGCAAGGCGCGGGTGAGCGGCGTCGGCGATGGCATCTTGTTGTAGCAGTAGCAGGATTTCGATGTGGCACTATAGCATGCCACCTCGTGACCCATCCATTGGTATGCATCCGCCTGCTGCAGGCCCGCCTCATACGCTGTTTCTTGTGATACACAGGACTGGGCACGTCCCAGCTTGCGGGATGAAGCCTTCTGCATGACAAGGGGGCCCGTCAAAGCGACAAGGCCTAATCAATCTATTGCAGACCAGGGTCAGCGTCCGCATACTACTGTCACTTTGCCGCTCTCCTTAACTTCTGGACTTTTCGCACTCTTCTCACCTCCACTTTGTCCCACATCTCACTTACATCTTTTCCCGTCAACAAAAAGACACTATATAAATCCTTCTTGTCAAGACGAGTATGCTGCTTCTGTTTATTGCTGCCTCGTCTTGCGGCTCCACGGGTGCGCACCTGCCTGACGACGTTTAAAGGCTTTTGCCGCGTGGTTTAGCGGTTGGCCGCGCGCATAGCCACCCGACGGGGCTCTCCCTCGTGTCCGTTGGCGGCCAGCTGCAGTCGCCGCTTGTCTGGCTCTGTGCGATCGATATCCGCCGTTCCTTTCACCTGTCCGAGCATTTGATATCCTTGGTGTTCGTGTACACCTTGTCGGCTGCTCGAGAACATGATTGATATGGACCGCGCCTTCGCGACGATGCCGAGGCAGGCTTACATCTTTGAGTTGGGCCTGCACAGCGCTGCTCGCAATACCACGCAATTTGATGCCCTAATCAGAGACAGACTTAGCTAAATCGTGCGCGACTTCGACATGATGGGTGCCGATTCCCCTCCCACACCGCCTGCCGGCCCGCTGCTCTCTGAGGAGTCCGCCACCCTTCTTCGGGAGCTAGGAGACTACTTCACCCGTACTGCTCAGATATGGTCATCATTGACGCATAGCCTGCTTCAAGACCCGCACGTATGTCAGGTTGCCATAGATGTCAACAACCGGTCAGCCAAGCAAACCAGTCTGACGGTCTTCACTACCGTTTCTGCCGTTGATGTTACAATTAGTCGTTTCCGATATGTGTCACAGCTTATAGCACCTCACGGTCATCTATGGCATGCTTCTCACACTGTGACACAGGAAAATACGAGACCTAGCGGCCAAGTTCTCTCAAGACGCCCAGGCTGTCTGGCGGCCCAATGGCGGTGTTTTGGAACCTTCTTCCTCGTCGAAGTAAGCTGTCCAGAGTGAGAATTGACACTCGCCACCAATCTATCTTCCGGACCAGGCCTGGATGCTCAGTTGCTCATTGGCCGTGGCCACTCTGCCAATGACAACTTGAACACGTTGAACGATGGAAAAGCCGAATAGAGAAATCTTGGTGATGAAGGCGACTGACTCTGAGGCTGCGGGAGAGCGTTATTGCACCTGTTCAGCTATGGCTGCTCTTCATTCAGTTTGGATACACGGTGGGCAAGAACGGGGGCGTAGAACCAAAACTAGATTGCACTTTGGAATGGCTTACGCGAGAAGATGGCGACGCCGCAAAGAGAGTCTTAGATGAAGGAGTGACAGTACCATCCCGGCTTCATGCTTAGAAGCCCTATGTATCGTCACCGGCGGGAATTTGATCAGATTGTGAATAAAGTGTTGAAGCGTGCCAAGCCACAAGCCAGGCAAGTCACAAAATAGTCCGTAGAACCTCTACTGCTTTTAACCCCACTCTTTCCCGTTCTCTGCTCGTTGTAGTATTCCCAGTCGCTGGTTGGTTCTGTAGTTCTTTGTCTTGCCGAGCGAGCTGCGTAAAGATCAACCCAAAAAGTTAATGCTGATTTTCTGCCTCGCGGGCCGCTTGATCGAAGATTTTTGTGTGTCGGCGATTTTTTTAACGCGCGGATAAGATATCTAACTCTCCTTGCGGTATGCGTCTTCTTTTTCTAGTCTTTGCTGTGTTGCAAGGCTTATGAAACACGCCCTCTGGCCGCCATCTGGTGTGATCCTCAGCACGCCTTTTGGCACGCAAATTATGGATTGTGGCATCGGGTTTCACTCTGCCAGACCCCAAATATTGTCTGTTTTTATGTTTGACCAAATTGACTGGTTCGCATTGCCCTCTTCTCAGTGTACCTCAAATGTAGTAGGGGACGAGGCTTTTTAAAGGTATGAATAGGAGTTGGTTTTTGCGCTCAATACCTATAGAAACCGCCGCGAGGGGGTGGAAAAGTCTCACAGCACTTTCGGATCACATTTGGAGGCCGAAATTACGGATGATGCGCGCAAAGAAGCCGGTTCTGACGCCTAAGATACAGTGGTCCTGCCAAGTGGTAAAGAAGCTTGGCCGTCTCCACGAGACTCCGACCATGTCAGGTCCACATAAACATGGCCTCTTCTGGATTCGTTCCGACAGTAAGATGAATAATCTTGGGCAGGTATTGGATGTCATTGCTTGCTTTGCATCCTAAATGGACTTATCAATCACGCGCGCTTTCGCACATCGTGCGCCTTCACGAGCGGAGGTCGACAGGGCGATTTTCTGATGACGGAAGCACCCAGCTTCCGCCAAAGTCACATGTTAGTCAGTCGACAGCTGTTTGAGGAATGGGGAGCTATTCAGCCGCTCGGGTGTACATTCAGAAGCTGCTGAGAGGATGGGAGAAAGCTTTCTGAGCTCCATTTAGTGCCTCTGCGAAGAGCGGCGCCTGCGGGGTCTGCTCAGACGGCAGTTTAGTTGAGTCTGCTGATTGCGCTCTGGCAATAAGATGACTAGTTGTAGGCGAATAATCGCCGCTCTCGTTTACTAACATCCGAAACAGCTCCATCCGTTACCCGCGCTCCTTGCGCCATCAGTGAACGAATACGTCGAGGCAAATTTCTGACGACAGATCAACAAGCCGACACTTGCATTAC